CACCAGGCAGAAGGGTGGTCTTGAGGAAAGGCTATATAGGGTCTTGAGGAAGGGCTCTGATGGAAACTGTGGAACTGGACCCACTGGATACGCTGCCCAGGCCATCAACATATAACTGGTCTTCCTTCCTCTCCTGCAACATGAGAGGGTGCCCTGGTTGGATTTGGGCAAGCCGCCTGGGAAAACTGTGGGGCAGAGAACATGCTGTCCATTGCTATGTATGTGGCAAAGCATGGAGAAGCAGTTATGTAGAGCAGGGCTGTATGTTCCAAACTTGGACTTGGAGGTAGATGGGTCTTGAAGAAGGGCCCTGGGGTTCTGCGAAAGGGCTCCACAGGCATTGAGGGGATGAGAAATGATGGGGTCTTGAGGAAAGGCTCCACAAGCCTTCCAATTGAGGAGGGTGGATTGGCAAGGCTGGGTCGAAAAAAGGCAACAGTCTCATTTTTTGCTGGCTTGCTATTTTTTGTGATGGGTTGTGGTGACTCTGCAGCTGCTAAGGGTCAAGCTCTGCAGGCTTCCAAGGTCCTGCTTAAGGGCTGTAGTTTTGTGCTGTTGAAAGGTCCTGCAGAAGGGCTTTGGCAGTTAGATTGACTGAGGTACTGCAGAAGGGCTTCCCAGCATGGTTTTGATGAAGGCAGCAATGAAAAGGGCCAAAGGTGGCAACCCAAATCCACCTAAGCGACAAAGCTTCCCAGAGACTGATCAGGGGAAGCTCGACTCCAAGCTTGATGCATACATCAGAAAGGTAGGGATCAAGGAAAGTTTCAACCTCTATGACTACCAGAACTTACAAGCTCAGCAAGCTGAAAGCAGCAAGTCACTTTTTCTTTTGAGTGAGCTGCTTTCATGCTTGATTGAAGTATCTCCCACAGCACAGATCAAGTACAAATACTTGAAAATGTCCCTGGGCACTATGATGAACCGATTTGGTACAGAGCTGCTTGCACAGCATTGGGACAGAGAAAGGTCACTGCTTGCTGGAGCCTGTGCTGACTGCATAGGTGTGATTCTGAAGCATTGGAGGCGAGCCACAAGCTCAAAGGAGAGCTGGCAGAGATTATGTGATCGACTAGATGAAAGCCAGGTTTCAGTGCTGACCAGGTTGTACAAGAAGACTGGAGGGGTGCAGGAGGAGAACAAAAGAACCTTGCAGAACAACCTGTCTGATGTCACCATGGACTCAAAGGGCTTTCCAGCCATGCTTGCAGATGCAGAGTCCAGCTCCAGTGAGGAGGAGAATGACAAGACAAAGCCCCATGATGATCACATGAGCATCCCAGCCAGCTTGAACTCTTCACCACCCCCAGTAAAGAAGAAAGACTGGAGACAGATAGCTGGAGTACCTGTGAAGAAGAAGCCATCAGGGTGCAAGAAGAAACCAGCTGGTAAACCTGTGTTGGTTGAGGAGGTCAAGGAGGCCACAAAAGGTGAGGAGGGAGGTAAGAGCTGCAAGCTTGACAAGGATGAAGAAATTGACCAAGGAAGCCTTGTGGTTGGAGGTGGCAGGAACCAATCATACATACAACACAGGCCACTGGGTCCAAAGACGCCCTTGAGACTTGTAGTCGCATGCACAAAGCAGCAGGCAGCAAAGATGAAGAAGAGCCATAGAGAGTTGGTTGAGTTATTGCTGCCTGCATGCAAAAGGCCAGGGTGACGCTCTCTCTTTTGCCTCCTCCCCCCTTGAGGGGAGGAACGGGGCGCTGCTGTCTAGCGGCTCATGGTGTTTATCATTGCATGGTGGCAACCACACTGCTCCTTACCTTTCGGCATTTTGGAGATTCCGATCGCAAGTGCAGTGGTCTTCCCCAAATTGCCACATCATGCCAAACCTTGGGCCCCTGGTCATTGTGTGCAGCAAAGCACCCAGCCGACATCCAGTCTGTTTCATTCTGATCTAAGGGGACCCGCTGTCGGTCATCGCTTACATGACGCACTGATGCCTTTCAAGTGCATTGCAATGACATGGCTTGTCAACTTATCAACTTGTCAGCGCCTTTGCCTACTAAAGGAGGCCTCAGAGAGCTTCCCGTCACTAGGACAAAATTCTCGGCTTTGCCTTGAACGACGCATGCAGTAACAAAGCAGGAACAAGGTTGTTGAGGGACAAGACATACGGAGAGTTTTGTGGAATTCATTGCCCCTGTCTCACCTCTTCTCACACGGCCTCCATGGCCACACGAGTTGCGCAACAGGTTGCTTCCGCTTTTGGGGGTTTGGCTGTGGTTTGTGGTGTTTTTTGTGTGTTTTGTTTGCTTCGCTTGATTGCAACCTGTATAGTAACTCCCTCTTCACTCGACAAAGGTGACTTGTGCACAACCTGCACACATAGCGCCTCGACTCGTGCAAAAAAAGACCAAGGAAAGACTGTGCTGCGGTTGGTGTACGAAGGGCCTGATATGCTTGGGCCTTGGCCTGGTGCTCAGTATGGGGACATCCATACAAGAAGGCATGTGCCTTCCGCTGTGTACTCCACCCTGGGCTGGAGTGCAGGTAGGGAGCAGTGCGGACATGCTCATCTTCCGAAACGTCCATGATATCCAAGTCGTGCCCTAACATGTCAACGTCTCCACCATGGTCACTTATCGCTCATGGGTCCTCTGCATTGTATGCCATGAGGATTGCTGATATCGGAGCTGGTTGATCGACTCAACCAAGCTCTGTACAATCTGCACCGGGAAGTAGACATACATGTCATCGAGAGGAAGTTCCTGTTTGCCGTGGGTTAGACCACGGGCAAAGGACATGATGACAGTCTGCATTAGCGAGTGTGCCTCAATTTCCTGAGCAGGGTCCGTCTTCTGTGCGTTCGGTGGAGCTCCTGCCTCTGCTGCTTGCTGGTCAGCTACCAGCTTGTTGATGTTGCGCGCACAACAGATAGAGCAGAACGAGAGGAGCCCATGTTGCCAAAAGTTCAGATCAGCATATAGGGCCAACTGCGCCTGGTCGACAAATGCACAGTGGCAACTGTCGTTCCGCAGAGCTTCCCCGGCCAGGTTCGGAGAAGCAAGGAGGTTCACAAGCTGCCTGCCACGAAATCTGCACATGGAGGTTCACAAAGTGATGCACCTCCCACGAAATCTGCCCGAACTGGCGACTTTGTCGTGCAACTTCAGGTCGCGGAGCCTAGGCTGGAAGAATGAAAACTGGCGACTTTGTTGGACAACTTTGGCACGGAGTATCTGGGGAGCTGGAAGTGAGAACGGGTATCTGGGGAGGTAGATAACTGGCGACTTCGTAGTACATCTGAAGTGCGCGGAGCATCTGGAGAGCACAACTTCAGTGCGCGGAGTACAGGAGAGCTGGAACATGAGAACTGGCGACTTTGTAACTTCAGTACGCGAAGCTGAGATGGCGACTTTGTGGTACAACTTGAGTACGCGGAGTATCTGGGGAGCTGGAAGATGAGAACTGGCGACTTTGCGCGGACCAAGCCGTGGAGCTGGAAGCTGAGAACTGGCGACTTTGTAGTACAACTTCAGTGCGCGGCTGAGTTCCATTCTGTATTTTGCAAAAATGCATGAATAACGTTTTTCCTGCAAGACAGTTGACGGTGGCTGCTTTGCTCCACCGGTCGGTTCCAACTTGTTTTGTCGCAGCTCGGCGAATCAGTCTGCCACATGCCCATTTCCTGTAGGTTTATTCTTTTGGAAACTTCCGCCGCCGGCTTGCCCGGGAACTGCTTGTATTTTATGTGCGTTTCTGTCCTCTTATGCTCATAATGCATGACTCTGGAAAACCACTGGTGACAAATCGGCTCTAACGCGCCGAACGAAAGGGCAGTCCATTGCTGTAAGTGGCAGAAAGACCAGCTTTTGTACAAAATGGGCCGTTGGCAACGATTTTTGAGGCGGGGTGTCAATGCAGCAAGGCCCCTCCCTGCGCAAGGATGACACGCACAGAGGTGTCATGACTCACAACCGTGGATCTAAGTGGCTTAAAGGTGGAAAAGAGTGCGACTCTGTGATTTGCCATAAATTTCAATCTGTTGTGGTTGTGCAGGCATTTTATGAACCGGTGCATCCCACAAAAAGGAGGTGACATTTTTTGATTATCGTATAATCGTATTTTGTAATCTGTAGGCATGCGAGCTGCTGAAAAATACAAGTTATAGTGTCATCCACCTCCCAAAACTCGCTGCAACAGCCCAAGGCTGTGGGGGACCCGTTAGCGGATGCGTACAAGGAGCTGGTGGCCGCGTGGCCACGTGAGAGTCCCGACGACAAGCGAGTGCTCTTTGTTGTGAGCGCTCTGATTCTCGCGCCACGCTCCGAACGCATTCTGCAGTTCTTCTCCGACCGTGTCGGTAAGGTTCTCAACCGACAGACCCTGTTCGACCAGGGTTGCAGGCAAAGTGCTCAAAAAGGGCGGGCAGGTAGCCATAAAAGGGGATATACAAACTGTGCCCCGATGTCATCCGTTCATCTTCATAGGATGGCGTAGTAGCACGACACACTGCACCTTGTTTAAAGTCACACTTCATTGGCTTGTGTGTTTACAAGAAGTACATATATGTCTGACCATGCTGGACATCTTGTTTCGAGTGCACTGCGTTGCATGCCAGATCCACTTGTCACTTAACTTTAAGGCTCCTGACAAGATGCCCTTTTTTCATCCAATGGACATTTTTTGGACTGTTAACAGGATGGACAGGGTACCAGGTTACATCCAACAAAAAGACACCCAGATCCAAGCAACACTTTGCAGTCGGGTCTCAATGGACAACACTTCATGCCCGACCGGAGCTTGCGATTAAGTGAACACACTTGAATTTGAAATCATTTTTGCGGGTGAACTTGCTAATGAACCAATCCAGTTTGTCACCTGTTTGGCTCATGGTTTGAGGCGGGTTTGGTGTCATGCCAATCATAACGCGGATGGCTTGGACATTTTTTTTACAGAAGCTGTAGATGCTGCAATTTTGTGAGTAGATGGAGCTGCAACCAACACTGGGGAACAAAATCAAAACACATTGTGACACCCGTTTATTTGGCGCAATGGTGTGGTGGCTTGGGCTGATGGCACTGGTGGATACAGCTTCAGCTGAAAGCTGCCTGGTGCAAGGTATGGCATACCAAAGTTCGAGAGTTGGAACTCTGCCAAACGGCGCGTGGGTGAGCGATGCATCCACTTGTCAGAGTAACTGTGCAGCGAGTCCTTTCTGCGACTATTTCACCTGGTACAATGCTGCTTGGCGCAGTCTATTTTAAAGCTCTAAACTCATGGTGACCAGAAACGTTTATTGTAGCATTGGGTCACCTTTAGGCCTCTGTTATATAGGTTTAATGTTGGGAAAACTGGCAGTCAGAGAGTGGCAGTCCTGATTCAGTTGTCACCTTCCCTCCATCCAGTCCATTTTGGGAAACCCACCCATAGCAGCCGCCAACTTCCTCTGGAACCCCAAAGGTTTTTCTCATTGATGTTCAGCTCGACACCCACGGTTGCCCAACCCATCTATCATGATCTTGTTCAAAGCTAGGTTTTGCACTGAGGATTCCAAGAGCTGTTGGCTCTTTGGAGACCAAGCCACTTTGAAAGCTCATGGCAATGCTACCTCTGGGCCAAAGATCTGCGACCCAGTTGACACAAAGATGAGTGTGACGACAGGAAGCGAGGAGGACGAAAAGAAGGTTGTTGCGAAATTGGGCAAACTGGCCCAGGTGGCTTGGAACATGGACTAGTGATGACCAGCAGAATAGGTGGAGAAGGCGTCCTGTACTTGATGAATCATGTTTCTAAGACAATCAATAGTAGCCAGCCAACCCCGAGTCCTCGTGCGCTGTCAGTAAGTATGGTTCACTGAGTTTCTTGGCGAGGTCATCAAGACAAAGACGAATGATCCAAAGGTCATCGAAGATGCTGACAAGGTTGGGAACAGTTCTCTTTCTACTGTTTTTGACACGGGCAGTCTGGAAACAAAATATTAGTGTCATGCGGACTGAAGTGGAGTCACCTTGCGCAATGTCATGAGTCGTGCTGATCTGAAATGCCACATGTTCACCGTGCTCAGCAAAAACAACCGAACTCTTCACCTGGTCTTTTCTGTTTTGTGGAGGTTGGGGTCGGATGTGTGTGAAGTGTGAAGGTCATTCGATCCACCTCAGCTGGAATTCTTCCTGATCGTGACATTGTGTATTTTGACATTGAGGAGATGACATTTTTTTTGATGCTTTAGAGAAAGGAAGGGCAAGACTGGGTTCAAGGAATACTAAGATGCAAGTGAGGCCCCAGCATATTTGGCATATCATATCATGCATCCCCGAGTTTTATGAAAGGACATGTACAAAGAGTGTTTGAAACCGTAGCACCTTCTTTCTTTGTGCTCATAGTCAAAAGCGTCATGAGACAATTTGTTTGCGCAGAGCTGTGAATTGATTAGGTATCCTGTGGTCAACGAAGTCAGCGCGGTTTTGACCTTGGAAGAGGCTGAGAAGGAGCGTGACTTGCAGGTCCTTCACTGTCTAGGCTTCTTTCCTTGAAACTTGATACGCCTACGCTTCCGGTGAATTCTATTGCCTGATTTTTCTATTTGTACGGAGGAAGACATTGTGGTGGTGGAAGAGGACCTGAAAGTCATCAACAACAAGGCTGGGAAGATATCCTGCATGGCAAGGTAGCTTTCCTCGGTGCAGAGTTTGCCCCAAACATAGAGCTGCCTCGTTTCTCAGCTTGTTGCCTTTTTACCACATGAACAGCAAAAACATTGGATGCCAAAATAGTTCAAACGATTTATACGGTGCCCCTGTTCGCCAAAGGGTCATTTGGGCTCCGATCTCTTGCACGTTGTTGGTGTTGCGGTTGTGAGCATTTCAATTTTGGAGGTATTCGGTCCAAACTCGATTGGAGTCACAATATCAGGAGACATATAGATGGACTGTATAATTGCGAAGGAAAAGCATTCCAGCTTCATGCAAGGATGACACGCACAAATCATGTGCATAACTGAAGGCCCTTACACGGTTCAAAAGAGCTCTCGCATGGTAGCGGAGCAAGGAAGGGCATTTCTTTGATCTGCCCGGAGCTCCAGAAAACTCTTGAGGGGACCGAAACCAATCCCCAAGTGCGGGCCCCCGTCCCTCGCGAGCGTCGTGCCACCATAAACTGGTGTTTGCAGTTGCTCGCAATCAAAGCTTGAGATTACTTGAACAAGCTGAGCGGAGATCATCCACGATTACCAGATTGCCCTTTCCAAGGTGAATTTGAAGGTGCCGGAGGTTGACATAACGGACCTTCATCATTCAGCCCAAGGAAGTGCACGGTTGGACTAGGAAGAGATGGATGGATCAGAAGTTGTGCCGGGTATGGAAGAGTTGACCCAGCCACTGATAGCCACGGCAACCGCTGCTACACAGGCTGTGCAAGCCGCTTCAAACACCCCTGGAGGAGGAGCAGCCCCATCTACGAGCGAGAAGAAGGACTTGGCTAGGTTGATTCCCCGTCCTGGTACCTTCCACCCCGTGGACCGTGAGCAGGAGATCCTCCAATGCCGAGATTGGTTTTGGAGCCTCAAGCAGTATTTGGTGGTAGTGGACAGCTCCTTTCAAGATGAGTTGGCTAAGATTGAGGAGAAAAGCGGAGATGAAGTTGAGTGGGAGAGAAGGAGCAGGAACGAGCCAGATTCCTATACAGTTTGTTGGGGAGCTTGGTACAGGGCAGGCTAGTGGGCTTGGTCAAGAACGTGTCCGGCTACAATGGATTTGAAGCCCAACGACAGATGCTACTGAATTGCCAGCCACAGCCCGCAACCGAACGATGAACTTGCTCCAAGGAATCATGGCATACCTAAGCTTCAACATGAAGTTGTCCATATTGCCCCAACTGCTGAAGCTTGAAGAGCATTTCACCCAATATGAACGCCTTGGAGGGAAACTTCCACCTGACATGCGTGCTGCAGTTCTCCTCAAGGCCATTTCCGGGCCTCTCAAGGTTCATCTCAACATGACCTTGAATGAAGGTAGTTCATACAGCAAGATTCGGGAGGCAGTGCTGGCCTACGACGCAGCGAACACCAAGTGGAATGAATCAGCAGCACTTAGCTTCTCAAGTTCGAGCCCAATGCAAACTACTTCGCAAGATGCTGGTGGACTGGCCCCTATGGAGGTGGACCGCTTGCAGAAGGGAAAGGACAAAGGCAAAGGGAAGACAAAAGATGTGAAAGGGTCAAAAGGTAAAGGCAAAGAGGAGAAGGGCAAGTCAAAAGGAAAAGGAGGGAAGTTTCAAAGTGGGCCCGAAGCAGAAGGTAAAGGGAAGAGCGGAAAAGAAAAGGGAAAAGGCAAGGGCACAAGTGAAGTCTGTTGGACATGCGACCGTTCTGGACATCTTGCCAAAGATTGCTGGAGAGCGCGGCAGGTGGAAGCCCCAGCATCCAATGTCCCTTCAAGTCCGCCTACGGTTTCACCAAGCACAACGGCGTCAGTTCAGCCAAGTGAGACAACCTTGAAGGCTGTTCGACGAGTTTCGCAACCACTGATCTTCGATCTGAGACAGGCGGAAGGGGACAGTGGAGCAATTCGAGTGCTGCAGATGGGGAATGAAGGAGAAAGCAAAGCAGCCGTGGCGTTCTACAGCATTGCCACCGACGATGAGGAGGACAATGAGAACATCCTGAAAGTGAAGGCAGTTCATGAGATTCCCCCAGAGGAGTGTTTCTATGGTGAGGGAGAAAAGGTGGTGAAAGCGTCCATCATAGTGGATTCAGGAGCCGATGCCTCTCTCTTTTTGAGGATGCTCAGGGCACCTATGCGCACAGAGATGTGGACATCGAGCTTCAGTCAACGGATGAAAGGAGGGTGGTGCTTAGAGAGCGAGTCACCTTTAGTGATGTGGTGTCTCAACCTATTCTGTCATTCGGCCATCTCTTGAAGTCGACCTAGAAGCCTTGGCAGAAAAGGACAAGGAAGCCTATGAGGTCATCGCCTTTGCGAAGTCCTATGCAGGCAAGATTGAAGAGAAGAAGGATGAAGAGGAGAGTCGCAATCGAGGCGACACTTTAGATGAAGAAGAGAAGAAAGTCAGAGAAGACAAGAAGGTAAGCTTCAGTGATCGAGATCCTGCATTGGATGAGGTGATTCCGATACGAGCACAGGCCCCTGTGATTGATGAGGCAAACAACCAGGCTGGACCTTCGAGCTTGAGTATGCCATCCACACCAAGACCTACAGCTCAGAAGAATCTACAAAGTGAAGGAAGCCCAGAACCAGATGCAAAGAAGTTCAAGCCCACGGTTGAGAAGACGGTGCATGGAATAGAGAACCAAAAGGGCGAGACAAGGCAATGAAGAGCAAGTTGAACGAAGGATAGCTGCAACACAGGTGGGTGAAAACGTGTTCTACCATAATGACACCATCTGAGATGAGGACAAGATTGAATGGAGCCTCGAACCAGAAGAAGAGGAGGAGGAGGAAACCTTCCAGAGGAATTGTGGCTTGATGCACCACTTGACCGAGTCCCACCTGATCCACCCAAGTGGATTGATGACCTAGCAGACTCAGTAGAGGAGAAGAGGCTGCAGGAGAGTACTCCGAGCCACAAAAGGACTTCTACCTGGGCACAAGACGCTGCCTACGAGGTTTGTCCATGATTGGAGAGCAAAGCCAAGACCAGGGCAAACCAAGAAGCAATGGCTCAGGAGGTCGAGACTGGTAGCTAGAGAGTGTGCCATAGAACGGGATGATGAAGTGCGTTCACCCGCAACCGGTGGACAGACACTACGGCTTCTTCCTTTCATCTATCTCATGAAGAAGCAGGAGGAGACAATGGGAGGAGAGAAGTTCTGGCTGGGAAGCCTTGACGTGAAGGATGCCTTTCTCCAGACCAAGCTGTACCAACGCAGTTGAGAACCCCCACTGGACACTTTGAGGTGCTGAAGAACCTTCTAGGACAGCGCATTGGTGCTAAAGCTTGGTATGAGTGCAGCACTTCATGGTTGGAGCAGAAAAGTTTTGAGTTCGCCAAAGAGAATAGGGAAGTATCATGAGGACATGATGCTGCTGATTCATGTTGACGATATCATGTTCGTGGGCAAGGAGAATTATGTGAAGGAGGTGTTCATGCCTGCGATCCAGTCGCGATTTGAAATCTCAATCGAGAAGACAGGTGATCAGATTCAATTCCTGAGGAGAACCTACGAGTTGGCAGAAGCAGGAGATGGAGTATGTCTTCGAGTTCACCCAGGGAAGTATTCAGAGGACATGGTGGAGAGCTACGAGGCAATGATGGGAAAGGTGAAGAGCCAACAGCTCCCATGTGGACAGGAAATGCTTGAACCCGATGGCGCAACACCCTTGGGGATAGAACTTGCTGCACTATACCGATCACTGGTTGGGTGTGGGATCTACCTGAGCCAGGAGAGGATGGACATTAGCTTTGCGGTCAAAGACCTAGCTTCAAACATGGCATGCCCGACCATTGGTAGCCTCAAGAAGTTGTCAAAGTTGATTGGATATTTGAAGTCCACCACAGGCCAGTATACTGTCATGGAGGTGAATGGGGCAGGCCATGGATTGGTGACACGCAGTGCTACCTCACCATGGTTGCTCGAAACCTTCTCCGACAGCGATTGGTCTGGGTCAAAGAGTCACAGGAGGTCTACAAGTGCAGCAATACACATGGTGAATGGCGCAGTGATCTTCTCAAGTTCACGAGGGCAGAAGTCAGTGAGCCTAAGCTCAGCTGAAGCAGAGCTCAATGCCCTTGTCGGAGCAGCAGCTGATGGCATCTATCTCAACAGGCGCCTCGAATTCATGGTGGGAGAAGAAGTGGAACGTCATTGCTTGGTGGACAACTCAGCAGCTTTGCACCTACGCCACCGGAAAGGACCTGGACGCTTACGACGCATCGCAGGTAAGCTTCTATGGATCCAAGACCTGGTTGCCCAATGTGCATTGAAGGTGAAGTCGGTTGGAACCACCTACAACATCTCAGACCTGGGAACCAAGCCCTTGAGCAAAGCACGGATTCAGCTGATCCTATACTGGTGCAATGTTCACAGCGATGAACACCAGAGGCTGGGACAAGAAGAACACAATAGAATCACGGAAGGAATGGTAAGTCGAGGAAAGATCACCAGACTGGCGAAGTTGCTCAACAGGATTTTACCCCTAGAGGGCCTTGAGCACGTGGCTGGGGACTATGTGAGTTCAAATGACATTTGCATGGTTGAGGACAGGAGACAGACGAGCTCTATTACCAGTTGGGCAAGTGGCATGCTGGTAGTGATGGTGATGCTCCTAGCCTACGCAGTCCGGATGCTCTGGAAGAGCTTGAGAGAAGTGAGGGAAGATTTGAAGGAGTTGGCAGAAGATTGTAAGACAGATGGGATGATGGTTGGAGCCGTGGAGTATGAGCTCAAGGAGTTGAGAAGGAACCAGGATGCAAGCAAAGAAGCGTTGAAAACAGTGGCCGGCTATGCTCACAAGATCCATCGAGGATTGGTGAAGAATGATGGATATGTGGACGAGACAGAGATGGAGGAAGATGAATGGAAACATTGGGACTATGTGCAAAAGTCCAATAGGAACTACAACTTGCAGAAGTTGAAGATCCATGCAAGGGAGTACCTGATCAACAAGTGCATTGAAGAGTATGAAGAAAGAGAGTTGACTTGGCAAGCGCCTTTCCAGACGACATGCCTGAAGAGGAGCTCATTGCAGGTGAGTTGGCAATGGTGCAACTGGACTCCGGAGAAGTGGTCTGGATTCCAATGGAGTATCTACAGCCTCGAGAACCTGAGAGTGATCCCGAGGATGAGGAAGAAAGAGCTGAGCGACATGCTGAGCACCAGGCAGAGCGAAAGAGAAAACATGAAGAAAGAATCGAAGAGATCAACAGAATGAAAATGGAAGACTTCGGAGATCTTGACAAGGCGGAAGGAAGATCAGGACTCCGAGCAAAAGAACATATGGAACAACTGCATCGCCAATGGCAGGCCGCAGATCAAGCTGGAGATGCAGCTGGGCGCATGGCTGTATACAGGAAGATGGAAATCCATCAGCAGTTCCTGGACGGCCCAGCGATGCAGTTTCAGTGGTTCCATGAGCAAAATGCTCAGGAAGCCAAGGAGGAGTGCGAAGGAAAAGCATTCCAGCTTCATGCAAGGATGACACGCACAAATCATGTGCATAACTGAAGGCCCTTACACGGTTCAAAAGAGCTCTCGCAATAATATATAGTTAGTCCGCTGCCTTTGGAGTCTGTTGATTGCCAGGAGCTAGGGGGCTTGGAGCCGGCAAAGCCGGGTGTCTCCTATGGTGCTGGTGAGAGCCCTGGAGTCCACACGAGCCTAGTGATCTCATACCGTGGCAGGTCATTGCTAGCTTACTCAAGCTTCTCCTTTTAGTTGGGCCAACTGGAGTGGCAGAGGTCGTAGAGTCGGGTGTTTGTAAAGTTGATATTATCAGAATTTGCTAATCATTTTTTCCGCCCAGCACCACAACCAGCACCAGTCGGAACTTTATCACCAGATATCGTCAGGTGCTCCTTGGAGAGATGCCGTGGTTCCCTACTGCTTCCTCCCCAGCGGCTTGGCAGCGAGAGCTTTGCCATTTCGGCGGTACATTAATGGAGTGTCAAGGACTTTTGAGAAAGAGAGCCTACTACCAAGTCCAACCACGTTGGTTTGGCCACTTCTCGCTCATTGAAATATATTCAAGTCTTTGTCCCAGTTAGACCAGTCTTTGTATTGCGCTTGCAGGCATCTCTCATGCAAGTATTCAGGCCTGACCCGTACTTTTCTTTGTTTGAGCACGGTATTCATGTTTGAGCACGGTATTCATGTAGATTCATTTGTATTTGTCGTAAAGTTTCTTTCCCAATGAGAACATCAAAGTCAAAGGGCATCGTTACTAGTAGCAAGGACGCTACTAGTAGCTCCTGGCCTTACTACTAGGAACAAACAACTACCAGGTACAAGGGCAACATGACAGGTCTAAAGGTCCAAGGTCCCCCGGTCCCCTCCGCATTCCAGCTCCCATGTCTCTGTGCAGAACACCCAAGCAGCGGTTAACATCATCCGGCGCTTGGTCCCTGGCATCACTTTCAAACCACTGCGTGGCAACGATGGTGGTTGTGAGGAGGGCATTGTAGCAACGAGGGTCGGTATGCTGTGGTAGACTGAAGCATCCAAGCATGTTGCAGATGATTTGATTCTGACTTTGACTCTTTGCAGCGGCCCTGGTCTTGGTGAACACTGTTGGTGCATCTCATCTAAGACTCTCATGATGTGATGTTTGCAGAGCAATGGTTAAACACGTGTGTATGGGTTGAACCATGTATGTGTGAACATGAACACAGAGGGCCACTCAGGATTGGGTATGTCCTCATGTATGTGACCTAGACTTGGTTGGCTTTGGCCAAACAAGCGCAGTACCTTTTAAGTGCACTCAACAGTTGCCTCTAACCAGGAGTCACCAGCAATCTTTGTGACCGACCGGGAGCAGGCGTAATTGAACTGCTATTGTCTTTGCTTTTCTTTGACTATGCATACTGCATACATACCAGATATTTTGTTGTGGCAATCAGAAGACATTCTGAAGAACATCTTTGTGGTCTACATGGAGTTTTGCAGCGAAGTGCCAGGGCTGCTTTGCGGATATCGGAATGCAGTTTCAGGTCTTTGGTGGCAGCCAGGCACACAGACCAAATGAGCCAGCACCAACAGGTCCTTACTGCATCGTAGTAGCAAAGGCCCGTGTTTAGATCCAGGGTTCATGATTTCGATGGGCGGGCTTGAAACTTGAAACAAGATGACAAGAGGTGTGTCATAGATGGATTCTGCTTGTGTACAATGCTAGCAATCGCAAGTGTGGTGGAAAGCAGTGAGCACCCACCAAACTGGGGAACAAGTCCTCTAAGTCAATGGTGTTCGGTCAGGGACAGGCCACACGCGGTTCCCAACATGCGTTGGAAGTGTCTTGGGCACTGAGAACCCGCGCTTGTTGTCATGGTCAATCGGCCCAATTTTCCCGCGCGCAAACAATGAGCAGTGGGAGCTTTGGAATTGTGTAGCTTTTACTGACGAACTTACACATGATGCACGAAAAACAATATGCAGTTGATTTGTACGTGGGGCTGACTGAAGAGGCCTATATTTTCCAATTGCAACCTTGCCTTCGTTTTGGTGCCAGGTCATGAATGTCCCGCCAATTTGTTCTGTGGGCGTGGTGCTTCACGAGTTGTTGCTTGGTTGCCAGCGTGCTGTCGAGCTGCGTTGTTTCGGTTTCGCTGCGCCCCAGGCTACATGCTTTAGGCATGGCACACGAACAAGCACGACCCGATCGAGACAAGTACATCACTGTTCTTTGGCAGAGCCCAGGCCTACAATTATATAGTTTGGAATCTTTGGGACTTCCTGACTGCGTTTTCTTGAGTTTTTGCAATGAATCCAAGGAATATCAAACCCGGCATGGAGGGCCAGTTTGGCGTGCTCTTTGGAGAAAGCAGAGAAGGGAAGTTTCACATGACATGAGTTGATCAAATCTGATAGGAACAAGAAGCTACTAAGGGCTCCTGGCCTTACTACTAGGAGCAAGGACGCTACTAGGGGCTCCTGGCATCGCTACTAGTAGCATTCTTACTACTAGGAACAAGAAGCTGAACGAACGTCTAAGACTTGTCTCGTTTTGCACTTCATTTCATTGCATGCCGTGAGAGCCATACCCATGTGTGAAATGGAACAACCAAGATAGCTCATTCCTGTGAGACAGCTGCAGCTCTTGCTCATCTCCTAGAACAGCTTGAGCAGTCAAAAAAGAAGGAGAAGAAGTGGAACACCCAGCAGTATGAAGCGTACTCTTTCGAAATGCAAGCCGAATGCGCCACAGAAAATTTTGCAGCGCCATCACAGGCGTAGCTGAAATCCAGAGGCCAACTGCTAAAGTACTACTTGAGGTTTTCTCTCAGGAAGAAAGTACAATGTAATTAGATTCAGAATAAACTTTGAATGAGCCCCCATCATTATCACGGATGTTCAGGCCCTTTCATAGAAAGTAAAATCGCAAAGCTTGGTGCTACAATGCCTTAACAAGTTTCATAGTTCATTCCGTTCGGATGACTGAATGGAAGGCAAATTATACAGCTTATGCTGATGCTCAGGAGAAGTCTTTACAAACAACCAAGGTGTTTCACCCGGGTGTATTCTGCATCTTGCAAGGAAGTGAACTTTCGGGTGTAGGCTGTGAGTTGGTTATGTTAGTTCATTGCCCATTCAGGATGGGGAATGCAGACGCTTCACGGCCCTATGACCTCACCTCCATCATGCACTATGGTTTCTTTGCAGCAGCGGGTCTAGGCCAAGAGGTATGTTTTTGTACGGTTTGGGGGGTGCTGGAGGCCATTCCTATTAGGTTGGAGGCCATCGCTCTTTGGTTGGAGGCCGTCGCTAGTAGCTTGGAGGCCATCGATAAAGCTCTGTCACAGGCTAGAACCACAATGCATCAGAGAAGTCAGTTATTGGAGGACTCACAAGGGATGTGAATCACACCTGGTATGTTTAATCTGAGTAGAAGCCCTTGTGGTTGGCTACCCAATACATCTGAGTATTGGTCCAAATTAGAGAATTTGCCAGTACTTCCATTCCTCCTGGTGCCTGGTGCCAGCTTTTTCAAAAATCTTGCTTGGTGCAGAGGTCCAACGGCCTTCACCAAGAACGGCTTACCTACACTGGCCCTCACAGCCAGAGGCAGGTCGACCTATTCTATTGAAGCTTGACTTTTGCTAAGCCTCTATAGCTGTGCTGTGGGTGGACACAGTGCCTGTAAAATGCTACTGATGCCAGAATAAGTACACTTCACAGCTTGCATTCTCAAATATACGTAGTTCCTTTGCAACTCTTTGTGGTTGCTGCTTGAAGTCAACTATTTTTCAGGAAAACATGGAATGACAGAATGTTAGACACATTGCATGCTTAGATGCATTATTTTGGTAATAGATAGATAGATAGATAAATAGATAGATAGATAGATAGACCGCGGATCTTTGCACCAGACAAGGGCCCGATGCGGGTGTGTGTCAAGGCGGGCAGAACCAACCATAGAAGCTCAGCTTGAGCTGGAGACTTTCTTTCATGTTGGATGTCCTTCTCACCTTGCATATTCGGAGGTCAACAACAGCTGAATGCCCTGGGAGCCTACACCATCGGGCAGCGTGATGTGTCTTTGGTTGAATAATGTGCTTGTATATATGCCCAAACAGCTGAGCCTGGAAACGTCGGTTTATTCTATGGTGGCAACTTGCCGCCGGGTGTCGTTTCCAGTTCTTTTTGCGAGCTGCAGGTTTCCACGAGCTTTGTAAGTATATAGACAAAACGGTGAGGTTGCCTGCCGAAGAAAGGCAGCATTGTCACCAGCAGGCAGTAGCAAGGTTTCCGTGCTGGCTTCTCCTGCTCGCAATGAGATGTCAAGCAAGACATGAATCAAGGTGTGCAGAAGGTTTGCATGTCACTGCGTCATCCAAGACCCTTAGCCAGCTGGACTTCGAGCAGCTTGTGCACCTCTATCACTGTGCCTCGGCAAGCACATATTTTCGAAAGAACAGGACAACCGCACAGAGAAGATGTCTTCTTTTAGCGCTTTTGTCACCAGAGAACCATTAAAGCTGGCACGTGAAGTGGCAAGGCCTGTCTTTAGCCAGGTTCTTTGTTCAAGCCACTTCAAGCCTGGATGTTCTTCTTCGAAAGCCGTTGATTGCGCTTACAGCAATCAACACAATACCAACCTTCGATCGTTCTACCCGTTTGTCTTCCTTATTTCTACCTCCCTGAGTTTGATTTCTTCTTGATTCCTATTTCTGTTTCTCTTTCAGTTCCCTTCCCCAATCCTTCTCCCATTGTCACACTTAACGTTGCACTTTCCTTTTCTTTCTATCCCTTTGTTGCCACACACATACTGGCCCATGCCCTTTCCGTTGCCTTTTCCTTGTCGCTTTCCGTCAAAGACTTGTCATGGACTTTTCACCTGACTCAGGCACTGCAGATGTGAGGGGCATGTATTCCACCTGCAACCCACCACCACCAACAGACTGGCTTGCTATCCTAGTAGGCGTGTGTCTTGGCAAAGCAAAAGTGAGTCGAAAGAGCCCGAGTTGTGTGCACTAGGGTCTTAGCAGGTAGAATGCGCAGGGAGGCAAGATTATGCTTAAGACACTAAAGATCTCACTATGTGAATCTTTTGGCAAGTGAACATACCGCTTCATTCTGGGCTCGTGTCATGACATATAGAATGGGCTAATGCCCTGGTGCCGCCGACCAAAATTTGGTGTGGAGCCACAAAGGGTGCCTGCAAGCCATCAGCGATTGCCAGCGTTTGACATGGGAGGAGCAAAGGAATCTAGGAAGCTGTGAGAGTGGAAACTGCTCTGAGAGTGGAGAAGGACATTGTGAAGAAGCAAAGAGGTCTGGCATTTGTCAAATGGAACGGCATCGACTGAGGCATGCCACAACAGATTTGGATGCATTCTTGTTGTTAATCAAGCACGTTGAGTTGCAAAGTTAAACAAATTGGTTTCCCAAAAGGTTTGAAGACAAGAGAACAGAAGCGAACATGACAGAAAACAGCAAAGAACAGAAGAGAAAAAAACAAAGCAAAACAGAACCGAATGATAGAGAACATAACTAAAGAGAAGAGGACACAATGTAGGGGGCATGCACTTCTGTTGCACTATGGCCTCAACAGCTGAAAATGCGAATGTGACTGTCCGGCTCGTAAGTGGGACGAGTGAGCCTAAGTGCAGCAGAGAGGGCCAAACAATGAAGAGAAGACGTGAACGAAAAGAAAGTGCCCAAAGCAAAGAGTTGTAGAGGCTACAGGAACCCAAGCTACTTATATAGTAGTAGGTTTTAGCCAGGTGGTCAAAAACAAACAATTTCATGAAGAAGGTGTTTGCGGCCCTGTGCCAGTTGTTCAACCACACGGCAGAATGGTATGCCACACGACAGCTTGGAAACCTCCCAGCAAAAATCTCTGCCACAGGCTTAGCCCATCTAATTCTGTGCGCAAAATGCCCATTCTTGGCACACCACTGAATAAGAGGTTGAAGCCAGGCCGCAGTGAGTATTCTGAGGGCCCTGTTGCCAAATGTCCCTGAAATACACGCCCATCAGGGATGGGAGGGCCCAAGCGAAACCCTCCAACACAGCCTCCGATCTCATTCTGTGCACAAAATGCGTTCAATTCAACGTTCACAAGGCCAGACGGCAGCTTCGGAACTGTCTCAAGCCTTTGGCCCTGTTGCCGAACATGCCCGAAATACTAGTCGGCCAGCATTTGCGAAGGCCATGAAAACAGAATCAGCTGAGTCCACAAACGACCCAAAGTTGCAACCTTGGGGATGCCAGGCGCTGCCCTAGGCCAGGGTCGACGGGTTGTATCATGATGGCCTGAATCTTTGCCTCAACCCCAATGCGGCAAGGTTCGCAGCCATTGCTATCTTGGGATGCGGGGCTTTCTGCCTGTATTTTTATTGCCGGGGAGCCAAGTACCCTACTTGCCTTCGAAGAAGTGTTGATCTTGATAAAGCTCAAGTCGGGAGGTTATTTGCGGATTCGGGCCGCGCATCAGAGCTAACCTTTTGTAAGAGTACTTCCAACTCTAGCGTGGAAGGAGCTCAAGTCTTTCTGGAAATCATGGGTGCCGACAAAGTACGTGTTCTTGCAAATGAACCTATTTTTGCACAGCTTGAGGAGCGAGACGTCATGTTGCATTTACAGTAGTGACATGAGCTGATGACTGTGCAGTTTTGTGAGTTCCTCCTATTCTTGTACTTTTGAATGATGGATGGTGCCAATTGAACAAGGTTTGAAAACGGGGAGCATTCCCATGAAAGAGAGTTCATTTGAAGTTGTCGAAGGCAAGAAGCAGCGGCAGCTGCAGCGAAAGGCGGCAGGTGTGGCATTTTTTTGGTTGCAATATATATATATATATATCTGTTTTTGTATATTTTTGGAAACTCAGCCAGTAGATTAGGGAAAATTGTTCAGACGAATGAAGTGAGGATACCTTTGTGCAAAACTTCATGAATTCATGAAGCAAAATTGACATGTTTGAAGTTTTGGGTTAAAGGGGCGTGATCGATGCTGATACTGCAAATCAGACTGATAGCACTTCCAGCATTCTTGAAAAATAATCAATGAGACGGGCATGGACATCCCTGTGTGAAAATAGACGTGTTTCTGTTGTTAAATTGCTGGAGAAGGATCTTTTGGTCAGGCTGTCGGTGTTTGTATTGTGGCTATGTGTGTTTGTGCTGAAGGTGTACAGTATCAACAGTAGATAGAAAAGGTTAAGTTTCTGTAAGAATCTTGGAAGTTTCCGTAGGAAGCGCATGAATCAGGCAAAGGGTTCAAGGAAGTTCCGGACCCGACTTTGAAGAACCCGAACCCTTCACTGTGTCAGCCTAGTAGCTACTTAAGCTACTAGTTACTAGTAGGGCACGAAAGGAGACTACCTTGAACAGCTTACTTGTTCTTCGCCTACCTCCCACAGCCTACCCTGGCCTAGCAAGAAAGGAGACTTCCCAGAACAGTTGCATTGTTGTGATGCTGATTCAATTTGTAGCCAAGAGCTTGGTCTTTTAGGAGCGGTTGAGAAGGGGGTAATTCACATTGAACACCAAGCAGATTGAATTGGAAAATAATCGCAACGCACACGTGGATCTGGAGGCCCAGAGAGCCGCCCCTTGATGGTGGCGGTGCCATCGCCAGCATCGCCACAGTTCTCGCCCCAAAAGGCCCCAAGGTGGCGGAGATCGGATGCTTCTTTTTTCTCAAGCTTGTTTGAAGGGATCTCAGATTCAGACGGATTTAGACAATCACACCAAGACCGTCTTCTCGGCATGAAGCTGTTGGTAGCAGCAACCGCGCAGCAACCGCACCATGCACCGGGGTGTGATGCAATGGTCTAAATTTTGATCAAAGGGCATTACTACTAGTAACACTACTAGTAGCAAGAAGCTACTAGTAGTGATGCCCTTGTTCAGGCACCAAAGCGGAGATCCTGAGGCAGACTTAAACCAAAGCCGCCATCAAGCCTGTCTGGGACGTGCAACCACCACTTGACGCATGGACAACACTTGACACATTGCAAAAGGTGTTTGCAAATGACAACTTGCTTTTCACCTTGACACCTTGACTTCCCGAGTCCACGCAACGCACGTGCTTCCCCTCCAACACCTTGGATTTGGTTTGGCTCAAAATGTAGACCTTCCACAAATCAACACAGAAACCCACCATAACAGGGTTAATTTCCCTGCCCGCACTTCCTACCCTCCCAAACAACACATCGACACACAGATATCAGCCATCCACGTTGTTTGTCACATCGCCATGTGGCCATGGCTCCACTGGCGGAGCTCCACGACTTGCTCCATGAGGCGCAGCGTGAAGGTGAGGAAGCGCTCCAGGAAGCGCTGCGAGCTGCGCAGGCTGCCCTCTTGGCCCTGCGACCCAAGGAGGCTGAACGGAAGACGGACAGCCGATGCAGATGCCAGGGGCTTTCAAAGGGTCCCGTATCAGTAGCACGGGATGGGCCTCAAAATCCGATGTAGCTGTGGTTCAATGACCTGAGATTAGCATGTCATGCCAGACTTTGTAGAGAATGTCAGAGCGCCCTAGCTTCCCTGAACCTGCTTGTCTGACTTGACACTGAAGTTATAATATATATGTATGTATGTATGTATGTATGTCTGTATGTAATGTAATGTAGTGTAATGTAGTGTAGTGTAATGTAACGTAACGTAAGGTAATGTAATGTAATGTAATGCAATGTGCTCTCATGGGTCGGTCAGGTTGGCCTGGTCATGAGGGTCACTTTTGAGTCTGCTGTTCAGCTTTCTTCTTTTTACTTATCAGTATCCTGATCATTTATCCACATGCCATTTTGGCAAGATTCCTCTCGAGAAGCCTCGCCAGGCAAAAGCATTTCAGTTAGTCTAGGGCTAGGGCCTGGGCAATGGCTTCTCAGGGCACTGGTCCAGCCTCATCAGGCACACCCATCGTGAAGCCTAAGGCTCCGGCAGCCTCGAGGCAGCAGATCTACAACGCGAGCAGTCGTTGGGATGATGCTTGATCAACCTCTTCATGGACCAGGCTCGAGGAGGAACCTGGGGCAGACCGCCCACAATTGCCGACCGTGCAGGAGAGAGCTCAATCAAACATGGAGGAGGCACCTGGGCTCTCACCTCCTCCCCCTCCTCCGCGCGGGACCTTCTGCTCAGCAAGCAGCTCAGTGCTCAGCAAACACAGCCCCAGTACTGCAGGCCGCTCAAGGGTTGCCCAACCACTCCAACGAGAACGCGCGTGGTGGCCTGCTCATGGGAGACTGGAGGCAGGATCTACGTGTGCTCTTGAAGGGGGCGTTGTTGTGGCGCTCGACTATCCTTTGTGCCACATGGAGTTGAGGTTCGTGGCAACCAGCTCGCCTGACGCCTTCGGAGCCGATGCTGACCGGCTCGAGATGAGGTTCCTCAGTGCAGGCGATCGCCTAGATGTCTCAGCCAAGTTTGTGCAGGCACCACCCTCCATGCTCGTGGTGAGCCGTGTTACAGGCGGTCGCGCTGGGTGGTCCACAGTGGAGGCCATTTGGCCTTCTGCTTTGTCGGTCGACTAGGCTGTCACAGTGAGGGCCTGGGTCTATGTGTTTCATCTTAATTGGGCTCGTGAATGAGCTCTCGCGAATGGAACCCCTACCGGGCCAGTTTGATGTCTGATCCTTCACCAGTCTCTTTGTGATGTAACCTTGCTCCATGCCACTTCGAGCGTGGAAAAAAGCGCTGCTGATCCAAGCTGCCCGGAAGCTGAACAAGCGAGTGTCAAACGAACATGACAGACTCTGAAGTGAAGTGAATGTAATGTAATGTAATGTAATGTAAGTGAGTATGTATGTATGTATGCGTGCATGCATGCATGCATGCATGTAATTTATGTATGTAATGTAATGTAATGTACTGTAATGTAGTGTAATGTAATGTACTGTAATGTAGTGTAGTGTAATGTAATGTAATGTATGTATGTAATGCAATGTAAAGCAATGTAAAGCAATGCAATGTTATGTTATGTTATGTGTGTAATGTAATGTAGTTTTCTGCAATGCAAGGCAGTGGAATGGAAAGGAATGTTATGCAATGTAATGTAATGTAATGTACTGCAATGTAAGTATGTATGTATGTATGTAAGTATGTATGTATGTAAGGCATGCGTGCATGTGGTGTATGTATGTATGTATGTATGTATGTATGTAAGGCATGCGCGCATGTATGTAATGTATGTATGTAAAGTGATGTAATGCAATGCAATTCATGCATTGTAATGTGGTGTAGTGTAATGTAATGTATATAATGTATTGTAATGTAACGCAAGGCAGTGCAATGCAATGTAATGTATGTATGTATGCTTGTATGTATGTAACGCACGCATGTAATGTATGTAGGTAATGTAATGTAATGTAAGGCAACGCAACGCAATGCAATGCAATGCAATGCAATGTAATGTATTGTATATAATGTAATGTAATGTAATGTAATGTATATAATGCAGTCCAGTGCAGTGCAGTGCAGCGCAGTGCAGTGCAATGCAATGCAATGCAATGCATGGATGTATGTATGTATGCATGTATGTATGTATTTCATTCTCATGATTGGTTGGCTACAAAAGCATCATGCTGCTGCCTCGCTAGGTCTTCCGCCTGGATTCTCAGCGTCTGAGGTTTATTTGGCTACTTGGCCCAAGAGTGAAGCTTTCGCCTTTTGGGAAGCTGTGAGCTTCCAGCTGGTGTCCGTAGCATGTGGGCTGTAAGTATTTAGGGTTGAAGAGGTGGTCCTCAGAGTCCTCAGTCTCGGAGTGCCACATTGGAAGGTCCAAGGTGTGAAGATGGCGAAAATTTTTTTTAACCCGTGGCCCTGCCTCCTTACTTAATCAAGCAGGCGCCTACTTAATCAAGTAAGGGAGTTCGCTCCTAGCTACTAGGACACTACTGCACATGGACGCAGGATAGCTCACGCTTCTTGAAGGAAGCATGATTTGGTTACTAGATTTTTTGGGAAACTTAAGTGCCATGAAGTGCCAAGAAGCTACTAGTAACAAAGGGCATCGCCACTAGAAGCAAGAAGCTACTAGTAGCTCGTGGCATTTCTACTAGTAACAAGAGGCTACTAATTGTTTCTTTCGACTAGTAATGCCCTTTGGAACTAGTGGCGATGCCCTTGCTACTAGTCGCTTCTTGCTACTAGTCATGTCATGAAGTGCCATGAAGTGCCTAAGGCTTCTCCTTCCGGAGTTCTGGGAGAGGCCCACTGCTGTGGCTGCTGCTGCTGCCGCCAACAGGGCGATGAACGGGTTGCTCTGTGCCGGTCAGGGTCTGCTGCATGTGAGCTGCTAGGCTATTTGATGAAGCTGAAAGGGCAAAGGCGACTTTCAATCACACCACACTTTTGAATTTTGCATGACCCAGGTCACTTGAGTCTCCATCCCAATTCCTTGACCTTAGAAGGGCAGCGCGCCCTGGAACAGAGAGCGCTGAGAGGCCGTGGGTGGCGCTTGAGGATGGGAAACACAGCCCCTGATTGTCACGTGTTCCAGCATGCCATAGAGCAAGCATGACAATGCAAAGTGTGCAGTTTAAGCCAGTTGCGATGATTACGTTTGAAGGAACCCTCTATATAAATTGGATTGGACACACTAGCATTACATCTTACGTCTAGCTGTGCAGGAGATGTTTCTTGCAAGCAAGGATGTCCTGGTCCAAATTTCAGTCCAGAGGGTGCCACGAGTTGTCTTTGTAATTTTTTTGAAAGCACTTCAAGTCGCTGCGAATGCATTCTGCTCTGTAGGTTGCCTGATGAAAATTGCATTGGACCGCCTCCTAAGTGTGACTTGGCTGCTGGGAAGGGGCTGTGCAGTGGCGTGTGTGTGGTAGTGGAGGCAAATCTGTGAGAGTGATGTTAGAGTTGCTTTGCCTTTAGGTTTCATCGATGCAAAATAATTTTGTTCAAATTCTGGATGCATACATATCATCGAATAGGGTCCCAAATCGAAAGGTGACAAAATGTTGTGCTTCGACTCAGGTTCAGTTTCACATGCCTCGACTTCCTGATGTCTTGGCCTTGCTCGAAGCGTTGGCTCGAAGCCCCTGTCGTTGTCTCCGAAAGATCGTAGACCGGCAGTCACGCTGGCGGCCCAGAGAGCTTCAGTTCGAGCAGATGGAGGAGAAGGGAGGGACGGAGAGCAGTGACTCGGGTTCAGTAAGTCATTACTGTCATTACTTGACTATGGACTCGAACAACCCGTACCCCCTCATGATTTAGTGGAACACCGTTGTGGTCTCGTCACTTGGGAGTTGACCAATTTCTTAACCCAGATGGCTTACAAAGCATGCAGTTTGAGCCTGCGCTTCTTGGAAGTTATTGGGAAGACTTTCTCGTGCCAGACTGTGAGGATTTGCTCCAAACCATGCCGAGCGATAGGGAAGTCACACAAGACACCTCGATGCAGTATCATCCCAATCCCCAAGATGTCACCACGGCAAACAGGCACAGGAGGAATATCTGAAGGGCTCCTAGTAGCGATGGCCTCCACATACAGAGCGATGGACTCCTAGTAGCGATGGCGGAACATGCATGGAGGAGCTTTATTTGTTAATTTGTTCCCCCCTTTGTGACCACAGGAGGAACAGCGGCGCTCGGCTGCAGAGGTGGCCGAACTTTTGAACGAGCTGCCCCATTTGCAGCACTTGGAAGGCCCTGTCTTTTCGGTGCTACTGCGAGCTCGTGCGGAATCCAAGCGCAAGAGTTGAGGGTGAAAGGTAGAGTGAATGAGGGTAGAGCGCTTCAAATATGAGGTATATATATATAATCGTGCGGAAGTTTCAACACATATATAGTATATATATATATAACCGCAGAGTTGTTGTGTGGTTGATGAGCATGAGTGATGAGTTCTTGTGTGATGCAAGGTCGTGTGATGATGATATGTGATGTGGTGGTTTCTGATGCGAGTGTGCAGGGTGTTGCAGCTGTTTGTTGATGTGTTGAAGTGTGATGATTAATGAGTGAATGACTGAGTGAGTGAGTGACAATCTTTTCGACATTTCGTGACGCAGAGAGGTCCCGTCTCCTTGTGGAGCCGCTCATCACGAGCACTTAATCTGAGTTCATTGGCCACTACATCCAAACATACTCAGAATTTTCCTCCATGAGATTAAAGAAGCCGAGGACACCCAAAAGCTGAGCCCAGGCATCGTCACCTGAGACGCCACAAAGAGGGGTGGTCTTCTTCAAAATGAAGAGCAGTGCGTCTTCAGACAGAGTGCTTGGCAAGCTTGGTGTTTCTGAGTTCACTCACTTCTTGCTGCAATGGCTGCAACCGCCAGCCTTTGATCATAGCTGAGAACAAAGGTCTTGCACTTCGGATGGCTTCGCTGTGGCAGACAAGGGGTCCCGCTGGCTTCCGAACTGGACACATCTGTGAGCTCTCGTTGCAGGATGTCGCGTGTAGATGGCAATTTGCATCAATTTGCCATGAGCATGAGAAGTGGATTGACATGCACGCCCCAACTCGTCCACATCGATCGAGCACACCGATGTAAGGGACATGTGAAGTGTCGATCGAGGCGCATCCACTTTGACTTGGAGATCACCCTTCCTGCACTTGGTGAGGGTACAGACACGTGATTTTCACCAGTTGCGCCTTCATTGTGCACCAGGGTACGAACTGGAGCGGACACTAATATACTGGTTGAAAACCTTGGGAGGGTGGTTGAAGACCGATCACTGTCAGTCTCTCACCTTTGCGCAGCATGGCATCAATTTGGTTCCCAAACTTGCCAGCCTCGAAGTTCTCAAGGCCAAGCAGACCTACTGCTGCAAGCGCAAAGAAAATGCTGGTGGCACAGCACCAATTGTCGTTGGGAAGATCCCATTTGTGCACTTGAAGCTGCGGCTTGGTCTTGCCCTTCCTTTTGCCAAAAGCCAGAGAGGATCTCCTCAGTGTGTGCTCTCTGAGCTTTGCGCCAGGGTCACCAGATTCTCCATACGATCATCCCTGAATTGACATCAGGTGAGGTGGGGTGAGGTGAGGTGAGTGAGTGAGTGAGGAGTGACGGGGTGATTGAGTCTGGAAGTGGGTCAGTGAAGGAGTGAGTAAATGAAGGATCAAAGAAGTGCCCCAAACTTGCCAGTTTAGGGGACACTTGTAGCCCCAAACTTGTCAGTTCCCTACCCAGAGCTGCTAGAGACGCGGACTATCCTTGTACTATAACCCCGCCAGTTCTGCGCCCAAAGCTGCCAAAAACTACTTTGCTGCCAAAGTCGCCAGTTCTACCTTAGGTAGCCCTGGCAGTGTGTAACAGATTCTTGCATTCCACCCGCCACTGTCGGGGCCGTGGCCATTCTCCCCTAGTGGCCATGCCCTTTGTTGCTGGTAGCTTCTTGTTCCTAGTAGCAAGGCCAGGAGCCCTAGTAGCGTCCTTGCTCCTAGTAGCGATGCCCTTTGTTACTAGTAAGTATCTTCTTGTCTTGTTCCCAGTACCAAGGCCAGGAGCCCCTAGTAGCGTCCTTGCTCCTAGTAGCCATGCCCTTTGTTACTGGTAGCTTCTTGTTCCTAGTAGTAAGGCCAGGAGCGTGCAGCCCCGACGCTGCGATCCGCACCTCCCAACTTTTGTGCACAACGAGTAACAAGGGCATCGCTACTAGGAGCAAGGATGCTACTAGTAGCTCCTGGCCTTGCTACTAGGAGCAAGAAGCTACTAGTCATCCATGTAACAACCGTTCTTCCCTGGACTTTCCGTTAACGCGCTCACGATCACGCGTGCGCTCACTGCCAAGTTTTCGTTATAGGGAAGATTCCCTTCGAAATTTGCTTTGACTATCACTTGTCCCATGCAAGATGAATGTATCCAAAGGAGATCTACCATTTCCCTTTTTCTTCTACTAGATTGAATGAAACTCGCGACTTTGGCTGAGTTGAGGTCGGCATGCCTCGGAGGCTACCCCAACGAGTGGTGGCCAGACGCCCCTCTGTAGCGGAGTGGAGCAGGGAAGGCTCAATGGAATCTGTGTTCAAAGCGCTTTTGGTTCCCCATGCTCTTCATGCTCACGCGGCTGTGCTGGCGCTCTTGGCGAGCGGCTTCGTGTTCTGCACTTGGTTGATTTGTGCGCCGGTGATCTCTTTGGGCTTCTTCCCTCTGGAGCAGAAGGACTGAAAACTGACCTGTGGCTTCTTGAGTGTGTATGTGTGGAGGTTTGCTCACTTAATTACTGTATATTGACCTTTGGCATGCCGCTACTCGACTTTGACTTGTTTGCAAGTTTGAGCCATCACCTTGAGCAGAAAAGCATCAACTCGATTCTAGGGTTGGCTTTCCTGCAAGATCATTCAGTTGTCCCAGTGGGGCTGACTGTGAATTTCTTTTTGCTGGGAGGTTCTTCGTCCACTACTCCATCTTCTGCAACACCCACTCCTTTCTGTCCAAGCCTTCAGAAGCTCCTACTGCTAAACTTGCCATCTGCTGCTCCGGGATTGACAGCGCAAGTCATTTGCAGCTGGCCCGGCCATTGGGGATTCTGATTGATTTGTACCAATGATGAACACTCCGCATGTTACAGTTTGTTAAACACCTGTATACATATTTGTGTGTTTTCTTGGTTTGCAGGTGTCAATAAAGAGCGGACCCATTTGGATGGCTTGACTTGAACACAACATAGGAGGGGTAAAGAAAGTCCAAACTCTTCGCCGAGGTAAGTTCTTGCCACAAGCGCCGGAGCTCAAAGAATTACAACTTGACTTCCAATACTTCGATCCTGCCCTGTGGGATTTGGAATCCCTGGAAGCTCTCGTTGCCAGAGTGCAAGTTGCTTGACTCGCTGAACAAGTGTTGAAGCTGAAAAAGGCTTTGTGAGCAATCCTGGAAAGGAGACTTCCACTTGATTGTCAAGGATTGCTGTAAAACAGATGTTGTGAAAATAAGCTCACACATCTGATGATGCCAATGGTACTATCTTTTGGAATGCCACTCTGGCCGATTTCCGAGGCAGCACCATCGAAGATCACCAAGCTGGTCCTTGATCCTTGGCTTTGGCAGGGATCAGAAACAGATGCAACGCTTTTACCAGCCTAGCCATCTTCTTCTTCAGGGAGAAGCTTCCTTGAAGGACCCCAAGCCTGGCCAGGACGCGCTTTCTAAGGATTGGTGTCGCCTTGGAGATGCTGGCGTTCGCTGTGTTTGTGCTGCACTTGCACGGCATGCCAGACAGCGAGGGGAAGAAGCAGACCTGTGGCAGTTTCGAGGCGAAGCCGGTGAAGGAGTCAAGGAAGCTCGGCATTTCATCCTTCAGGGGCTCCCACCTTCGGACACATACACCAAAATGAGTGAGCTTGGCCCGCGGATTGTGGGATCTTAGATGGACATTTGTTTCTTTCGTTTGTTTGCTTTCTTGAAGATATCCCTCGTGCTTCTGCTGGGCTCCGTGCTTTTTAAGACACTATACAATTAGACAACGGACTTTTTAATGTTTGCTTGTAGCTTCAGGGGCTCCGCAGCTTGCATTTGGAACGGTTGTGTGAGCTCTTGCTGATGCACTCGTTAGGAGCTCTCCTTGGCACATTGTGAGCTAAAGGACCTCAGCCACGTGTGTGAAATGCTGGAAACACCGGGCCTGGCATTGACCAGCTTGGATCTCTCGGCGAACAGCTTTGGAGACGAGGAAGGCTCGTGGTGGAGCTTCGATCTAGACGAATGTCAGCGTGGTAGAGACTGAGACCTGGTGGGATGAGCGTTATATAAGTTTCCCTGAAAATCTAGGAACCAAATCATTAGCGCAAGCTATCCTGCGTCCTAATAAGTAGTAGCTTACTTGCAGGTAGTAGCTACCTGTCCCTACTAGCTACCTAGCTACTACCTACCTCACCTTTAGCGGCCTACTCCCCCCCAAAAAACCAGGAGGGTTTTGTTTGTTAGATACCTTTCGTCGCTTGCAATCATGCCATGCAATCGTGCAGTGTGTGGCCGCAGGTCTGAAGCTTGCAAAGTCACTTCCACTCTCAACGATCAAGGACCGGGTAGTGTGTGGAAGCACATCCGTCGGGTGGGCTTCTCGTCCGTCAAATTGACAAGCCTTTGCTTCCGTGAGGAGCTGCGCCTGAGGGACTCACAGGTTTCTGCACGGATGCCGGTGAAGACCAAGTGGTCCTGGTCCTCATGAGTCTGCCAGCAAAAGCCCAAGGCTCTGCCAAGGCTCTGCCAAGGCTCTGCCAAGGCTCTGCCAAGGCTCTGCCAAGGCTCTGCCAAGCTCCCAAAGTTGGATTGGCAAAAAATCCTGACAGACGCGGCACGGCGCCTTGACCTGATGACCGAAACTCACAGAATCAGCACTTGAGTGGCTGCTCTTGCAGCTGAGAGTTCATCATGGAAGAAGTTTGGGCTTTCTTGTCTACATAGTGACGAGAGGGGTTTTCCACACTTGAGGTGAGTTATCTTTGCCCACAGACTACTTTCATGTTTGACCTATTAAGTTGCCTGACTAGCAAGAAGCCGTATGCAGTCAGAGGTCAACGGCAGGACATTTGGCTTTCTTGGTCCTGTTGGACAAACATCGACTTTGTCTATAGCTTGAGCCCGGCTCAGGGGCCATCAAAACTACTTGCGGAGAAAGGAGAAAGGGAGCGAACATGATGGCAGTTGGGACCTGAAAGGCTGCATCAAAGTCAACCTAGAGAAAACAACAACAGGATGCTTCGACCTTTTCTTTGTTTTTTGAAACACATTAATTCCTGGATTTTCTACATTCATGCTGCTCATCAGATTCCCAGCCATGGTGAACGAGCGCGGCCAGAACAAGACCCAAACCCCACACCTGGCTGGGGTCAACACACCATTCCACAAAGATTGACTGGTGACGTTGCCAGAGGCCGAACCCTTTGGTCATCCCGATGTACTCCAAATTCCCTGCAACAAACGCTTCTTATATTGCCGAAAGCCACGAGTAGCGGTATCCTGGGACAAGGTGCCTGACCCATTCCCTGATCCATGTGCAAAATTGTGCAAACCAATTAGATGCAGAGCAACTTTGTGTGTGAAATGGTAGATACGTCCTTTGATCCATGCAATTTATTCCCAAGTGTACTTCCCACGAGGTGAAGGGTGTCTCTTCGGTTTTGGTTGCTTTCCTGAGGTGCTTGTTGCTGCGTTCCGTGTTTTTGTTTGTTTCTTATTCCACCTTACGCATCCTCAGTTGTAGAGACCTGCTAGCTTCTTTTGAGTTTGTACAAACCCCTTCTGTGAAAGGGGCCCCCGGGACGTTCGACCTGTCCGTAAGCAAGGGTACCCGCACCTCACAGCAGTAGTTTGTTTTGTTTCCCGCATGACCTCGAAAATTGGTCCAGCCACTTAACTCGTGAAGTTCATGGACCAAGAACCGTTCCAATTTCCCGCAAAATGCCACCTGGTGGGCAGGATGCAACCGGGCCCTCCAAGAATGAAAGGGCAGCCTGTGATGTATCTACCAGGTCCCAGATAAACCAGAGTTGCCCAAAGTTGGCACTGACAATTTTCTATAGGAACCAAAGTACATACAGCTGATGCGATTCCTTGAGAATCTACTGTATATAGATTGTCAGATTGAATGCATACGCGAACTGGAGCAAAAGCAAGGGGTTGATTTCTGCAGATGGTGTTACGCGCCACTTTGGCATAACAAGCACCTTTGCAGAAATTTGGCAGGTGAAAGCTTGTGCTGTTTGATTGTTGGAAAGCATCAATTGAGTCGGCCGTAAGCACCACTGTGACTTGCACTGTACTTGACGCTGATGGACATGACTTGAGCAGCCTTTGAGCTCATAGGCCAAAAATAGCAGAAGTGGAAGCAAAAGAGCAACAAGTGGGCCAACCACAGCAATCCCAAAGAACATGCTTCAAAAGGGATTGGGAGGACCTCGAGGGAAGTAAGCCCTCCCACTAAGCCTTGGGTTGTGTCATCTAGTTGCCAGGAATGAAAGCCCTTCCTGTAGCAAGTCTAGAAGATGTGGAGGTAGAACTTGCAATCAGAAGCAGTACAAATCTTGCAGAAACAGGGATGAAAGCCCTCCCGTTGAGGGGGAATGTAGACTTCTGCCAGCGGAGTGCAAAAAGACATTCTTCTAAACTCTTTGGGCTTCAAACAGCCACAGCACGACTTGCAACTACAAACACGGAAAGACTGGTAGATACTCTCGGCATGATGTCCATGTCACATCGGAGTTCCTTGGCATAACTGGTGGTACGGCTAACGTCAAGTTCAAACTGGTTCACACACACACACACACACTGATAGAAATGCGTACTGATTTGAAAGCGGTTGCCACACGCCGGCCAAAGTGAAAAACCTAAGGAAACAGGGCAAGAATACGTCCTTAAAATCGCAAAGGCTCCAAAGCTCGAACCCTTTAATGCACATCTGCCGACCTCTGAAACCTCACCAGCCTGGGCTCTAGAGTGGGTTGTGGTTACTCAACGCCACACACACAGTTGCAGGTACATCGACAGGACGTCTCCCGTCGATATCACAAGCAAGAGATATGTGTCTTCATTGGCACCTTCCCTATCTCTGCTCCAGGTGCCCTCTGCTTGATAAAGACAAAAACCAAAAACAAACCAATCCGAAGGGATCCCTGTGACTCCAAGGTTACACACACACGCCTTTCCGAGGGAGGCAAGCTAAGGTTCTTTTCCACTAGGCTCCGCAACGCATGTGGGAAAGGGTGAGACTCTGGAATCTCACGGAAGCAAAGATAGGCGGTCAGGGGTAGGCGGAGTTGGCCGATGGCATCATCATGGAGGCGTGCCGCCAAGGTAGGGAGAGTCCGATAGGGATAGAGAGTGTCGCGCCGGGAGTACTCATCAATGTAGCCGATGGGGCGTACTCGTCGTGAGTTGATGTAGTAGAGCACAAGGTCTTCAAGAAAGCAAGTGTAGGGTACTTCCCAAACGTGAGAGTCTCCGGAGGAGGGGAGACCCATCCAAAAAGATGTGCGGGAGAGTCCGACCCGGGAGAAGATCACATCTTTGAGATCGTCAACCGTATAGTCCTTGTCTTCGATCTGAGCCGCAGTCAAAGTGACGGTGATGTAGTTCACGGGTTGGTGGACCAGAAGGCTGATGTCAAGCTCGAAACGGATGGTCAGCAGGTTGGGTACTGAACCCAGGGAATCCATAGGTCGTCGAAATTCATTCCATTCAGTGGGAATCGCGTGGAACAGGGGTTGCGGCAATCAAAGTCCAGGAGAGGAAATCATCAAGAAGGTAAAAGGGTCAAGAAAAAGGGTCAAGACAGGCAGGTTTGAACCAAAGAGGCGCTGCGGGAGTAAACAATGTGTGTGAGGATGTCGAACAGCATATAAAAGGAAACCATAAGGCCTGAGAGAACATGAAGTTTGTTAATGAAATTTGTACATAATGCGTTCAGTAGCATGTTCGTTTGTAGTATTGTTTTGTCCACAGCGCTGTGGAGTGACGAAGAAAGTGGGGGCAAAGTCAAATTGTGGGCATGTAGGTCAAGCTCTAGGGATCATCGGTGGTTGACTCAGGAAAGGGAGTGCTCAAAGTTAGAGGCGGTGATCCCGAGGAGTTCGTCAGAGACATAGAACCCGAGGCAGACGAAGGCGCAGGAACATCAATCGCAGGCGTAGCCGTTGGTCCAGCAGCTTGTGATGGTTCCGTGCGGGGAGCTGATAATGCTGGAGCCAAGGTGGCATCATCCAAATCCTGCTAATAGGTGGAAAGCTGATGAATCAAAGAACCAATGACGTGTTGTTGATCCGCAGGCGCCAATCCGCGAAGGGCGGGATTCCCTGAAACGTCGCAGAACTAGTGATTCGACTAGGTGATCCAAATGTTGACTTTCAAGGGCTTCAAAAGCCAGGCTCGTGGTCCCGCGAGGAGGACTGTCTAGAGCAGCTTGCTGAGTGGCGGCTGCAGCCTCGAAGGAGTCGACAAAGTTGCTAAATTGGTTCGCTGGCCATGGCTGTCAGGACAAATTGCCATCCGTGAGTGGAAGCTCGCAAGAGGAAAGCGCAGTCAAGATTTGACATTAGCCCTTTACTGCATTCGCTCTTTAGTGCGCAACAACGAATGAGACCAAAGCCCAAAGCTTCACAAGGAACGCGTTCTCCAGCTGCGACTTAGGAGCAACACCCAGCAGGTATGTTGGCAGCGCCCTGACCTTCGAGCGTGTAAAGTCTGCGTCAAGACGAAGTCTTGAAAGGACTTTACAGTAACTGGCCCCCCTGGAAAGGAGTAGAGGCTCAGTACCGGCGCCCCCGCGGGTTCACGCAGCTTACCGCTTACCACAGTGGGAAGAGGTCCGTGGAGCGAGAAATCAGGGTGCATCTCGGTTGAGCATTAGCGCTTTAAGATTAGTTGCTGCAATACCAGACTAGAGCGCTCAGGCCTCAACCTGTGAAATGGCCCTATGAGTAACGGCAAGGCGAGAAAGC